GTTGTCTCAGAAAGTGAGTAGAAACGAACATTTGGGGGCCTACTTCAGAAGTTTTTGAGTAGACCAGAGAGGAACTACTGTGTAACACGGAGGGAACTCCTTGCTATAGTAAAGAGTCTGTCATATTTCCATCCTTTCCTCTATGGGCTAGGTTTACCATCAGGACAGACCATGCTGCATTATGTTGGTTAAGATCATTAAAGAACCCAAAGGGACAGCAGGCACGTTGGATCAGAAAATAGATCAGTATAAATATGATATTGAATATACAGTAGGAAAATCTCATGGAAATGCCAATTAACTGAGCCAAAGACCCTGCAAAAATGACTGCAGACATTGCTACAAAAGAGATGTTGAACTAACCAGGTGCCATCAAGCTGAAGTCAAAGTGACTGCAGGAGTTGATGATGGTGAAGTGGAACCAGGTTTAGATATTAAAGTAAACCAGGAGAAAGATCAAGATTTGAAGCCAATAAATGATTTTATAAAAGCAATTGTTTTGCATCCTGCTTGGGAGAAGGTGTCTAGTCTAAGCCCTGTGACAAAGAACTATTGGGCACAATGGGACCAGTTGAAGCTTGAAGATGGTATTCTTCTCCGGAGATGGGAAACTGCAGATGGGCAAGCGACGACCTGGCAAATGATTATACCGGGAAAGTTACGGGAAGTTGTGCTGCGTCAATCCCATGATAGTTTAACAGGAGGACATCTCGGAGTTAAGAAAACATTGAATCACCTACGACAGAGACTTTACTGGATAGGTATGAGGCAAGATGTGGAAAAATGGTGCAGGACATGCAGTATATGTTGTGCTAAAAGGGGACTAAAGCATAAGGGATGTGCCCCAATGAAGTTATATCAAGTTGGCACACCAACGGAAAGAGTAGCCGTTCACATTGCTGGTCCTTTGCTTCAAACTCGTGCTGCAAAGAGGTACATTTGTGTGTGATGGATTATTTCACCAAGTGGCCTGATTTCTTCTTCAGATTTGGGTATGCCATACGAACTGCATTCGGATCAAGGCCATAACTTTGAATCTCCTGTGTTACATTAATGATGCAAGTTGTTTGGCATACGAAAGACCAGGACAACGCCACTTCACCCCCAGTTTGATGGGATGGTAGAAAAGTAAAATTGGACAGTGGGACAGGAATTGGCAAAGTTTTGTAATAGTCGCCAAGATGTCTTACTCCCTCCACTGTTGATGGCCTATAGAACAGCAGAGTCTGAAGCCAGTGGATGTTTGGTCTGGAACTTCGATTTCCAGTAGACCTGATAACAGGACGCCCACCTTACGAAGAGTAGCCTGAAAATGTGTCGGAGTTCGTTAAAGTGTTATCTGAAAGGATAGATGATATTCATCATCAAGTGCATTGAAACTTGAAAACGTCTGCTGATTCCATAAAGCTATGTTATGATAAATCTACTGAAGTCAGCTTTGTACCAGGAGACAGAGTGTGGTTGTATAATCCCAGGAAGACCAAAGTGAAGTCCCCTAAGTTGTCTTCTCCATGGAAAGGCCCATATGACATAATGGATTGTCTCTCAGACGTGACTCTCCGAATAAAATGTGGTCGGCGAGGTAAGCCAAAGGTGGTGCATGCCAACAGGCTTTGGCATTATCACAGTCCAGGACATTTCAGTTGGGACGAAGTGAGCAATGGAACAACTAACGCTGCTAAAGACACGTCACCTGAAAAAGCAACTGTCGTAGAAGAAACTCTACCCGATTTTGAGAGGGGAAACAGTGAAGCCCTTAATGAAATTACTACCACTCATGCGGCTGTTACCGACAATAGGACATTTCCTGATGTAGCAGGTGAACCCCACGTAAAGCAGAAGCCAACGAGACGGAATCCAGTAGGAAGAAGATACGTCCCGAAAAAGCAAGAGACTTTGTCGAATTTTAATTATGTGTTTGTAAATTCTGTATATTTAATTAAGTTATTGTTAATTATCTATTGGTTTAATTAAAGTGGCTATTTTTCGGGACGAGCAATACTAATGAAAGGGCAGTGTTACGACAGCGGAAGTCACGTGACCCTGGTAAGATTTGATGAGATTCTAGAAGGATCGGAGAACCTCTCGAATGTCCCAGCGTTTGCTAGACGCCCTCTTTTTTGGTATATTAGCCGGCAGATAAATTGATAACGGATATAATCGGGTCAAGTCGTGGGTAAAGTGTGTAAATCGTTGTGAATTACAGCGTGTGTTGAAGTTAAAGTGACTGTGGAAATTTTGTGTATTGCAAAGTTGTATTGAGGGAAAAATTAAACTAGTTTTATTTAAGAAAGGACTTGTAACGCTGAAGTTTCTCGGAAAGAATTTCTACGGGAAATTAACAAACGAACAGAGACCTAACAATATTTAACACTGTATTTTTAAATATAAACTTAATCAAAACAAACGTTGATATTAAAATAAATATATAATAATAAATCTGTCACAATAACATTCATCTCTTTAATTTATAAAACAATATATATATATGTATATATAAATACATGGTACCTTTGATTGTATAGACGTTGAAGAACAAATATGTCAATGGCCAAATATACTGCTGCAAATTATCTGCATTAATATTAATAATAACAGCAACAGAACTATGGCATTTTTAGCTGAAAACTCAAACCCATTTTATCAGCAGCCATTAATATTTGCTGAGTCTTTAAGATCTACTAAGTTATATGAAATTCTTTCTAAAGTATTTAAAACTAGAGGTAACTTGAAGCATTCTATTTGTTTTTGTTGTATTTTTTTATGAACAATGTTAGCTGTCGTTTGCGAAACGACAAATTCCGCTTACAATTTTAAATGAAAGGCCTACTAACGTTAGCACTTCTACTTCAGAACTAAGGAATCCTCTTGTCTAAAGTAGGCCTAGTGCAATTGTTTTAGTTTTAAAGGAACTTCAGAGCTAATTCATTCACAACTAATGAATGACTCGTGCATGCTAAGATGTTTTCTCCATTATTATCTGTAACAATTTTTGTTATAAATTTCCAGCATTGCTTGTAAGTTGTATATTTCAGTTTAATTTTAAGTATAAAACGTGAGATGAAAATTGCATTAAATTGTATTTAGGTAACGGTCTTATCCTAAGTTAGTAAGCATAACAACGTTTTGGGTCAACATGGGACCTATTGGTCCATCTAGGCTGTTCCGTCGTCTAAACTAAATTAAAATATTTTTTTTAAAATCTTGAAGCCAGCCGTTATTATTCATATACTTTATTATTTATCAAGCTTTTTTTCTTAACCTCACTTAAATTTACTGCCTCTACAACATCCAAAGGCCAACCACCCTGTTAGTGTTAGAAGATGACTCCTACCCTGCCAAAATTTGTATTCTTGGCCCCTAATCTTACTATTCTCACTGTTCAATATGAAAAAAGAATGTGTCTCAACACTATTAATTCCCTTTACAATCTTAAACACCTCAATCAGGTCCCCCATAACTTCTTTTTTCAGGAGAAAACAATTTGAGAGATTTCAGCCTCTCCTCATATGACAACCACTCCATCCCAGGCACTATTCTAGTAACCCTTCTCTGAACCTTTTCCAACAATTTAATGTTATTCCTAAGGTAAGGAGCCCAAGACTGAACAGAATATTCCAAACATGGCCTAACCAGTGACCTGTACAATGAAATTATAACCGCTTTAGACTTGTATTCAATATTTCAGTAGATAAAACCTAAAATCCAATTTGCCCAACCACTGGCAACAGCACACTGCTTGGATAGCATTACAGACTGTTAAGGTTATTCCCATCCAAATTATAGTTATAATTCAAATTATGATAACCCACATGCATTATCTTGCATTTATTTTAATTAAAACCCATTTGCCTAACTTACTAAATGATCTAAATTCTTTTGTAAATCAGCAACATCTTCACAGCTAGCAACACCCAAGAATTTAATATCCTCTGCAAATTTAAGTAATTTATTGACTATTCCTTCATCTATGTAATTGACATAAGTTATAAAATAGCAAAGGTCCTAAAACTGAGCACTGAGGTACCCCACTTTTGACATTAATCCAGCTTAACTGAACTCCGTTTGTAACAACCCTCTGCTTTCTTCCATCCAGCCACTCTTCTATCCATTTTGCTAACTTATCCCCAACACCTATACAGATTATATTTTTTCCAAGCCTTTTATGTGGCACCTTGCCAAATGCTTTCTGAAAATGCAGACAAACCAAATCTACACCCTTATCCTCATCTACATAAGCAGTAACCTTATCAAAGAATGTAAAAAGATTTGTAAGGCAATATTTTACCTTAGTGGAGCCATCCAATAAAATTCTAAACTTTGTTAAATGGCTTTATAAAGCATCTTTTATCAGACTTTCAAAAATATTTCCCACAACTGCTGTAAGATTAATAGGCTTATAATTACTGGGACAGTTTTTATCACATCCCTTGAAAAGAGAAGTGGCATTAGCTAACTTCCAATTCTCTGGTGTACCTGCCCACTGTTCAAAGACATACATAAAATAGTAACAAGTGGCTCAGGTATCCAATCTTTAATCTCCTTCAAAACCCTTGGGGAAATATTATCTGGTCCAGGAGCCTTATCGTTTTTTTAAACTTCACAATTTTTTCTTAATAAGCTCAGAATTAATGAAGTCATCTTGTTTGATCTTATTTTCATTTATCAACTGTTCAAGATGTGGAATACTGCTTAAATCTTTGTTAGTAAAAACTGAAGAAAAAGCATAATTTAACAACCCAGCCATCTCATAATCATCAGATACAAGGCTTCCTTTATCATCCCTCAAGTGTCCTACACCATCCTAACATTTTGTTTTCTCATAATGTATTTAAAGAAATCCTTACTGTTAATTTTTGAATTTTTCAGTCAACCTTTCCTCATACATCCTTTTTGAGGTCCTAATTTCCTGTTTCACCAACTTTCTTGATCTTCTATAATCTCCTAATTCTCCTGTCACACCAGTCAATTTAAATTTCTTTAATTTATGATGATTTTCTTTAATTTTATCTTTTAAACTCTTTGTGAGCCAGCCAACCTGGGTTTTTTTACTTGCAGCCACTTTTTTCTTTCTGTAAGGAATATGTTTACCATGAATATCTAAAAATTTATTTTCAAAAATGTTCCACATCTGATCAGTGTCTCTAAATAACTCAGCTGCCCAATTCACAACAAATAATTCTTGTTGCATCCCTTCAGAATTTGCATTTCTGAAAATTTGTAATCAAAATATCATTATTCCTTATCTTCATATGCAGCAAAACATCAAACCTAATACAGAAATGATCACTTGCACCCAGATGTTCCCCAATTTCCACCTTCTCAATCATTTCTATATTTGAAGTTAACAATAAATCTAAAATAGCATTGTTTCTCGTAGGTTCCTCAACTAATTGGTGAAGAAAGTCAATCCTAATCAGTTTGACTCTAGCATTTCCCAATCTGTTCTTATTCTCTTTGCATTTACTGATTTAGTTTATCCTGGCCATCACCACTGTCTAGTTCTAGTGTAAAACTTCCTTTACAGCTGTGTTAATGGCCTTAGAAAACAAGCCAGCCCCTATCCTGTATAAATGTAAACCATCCATTCCAAAACCCTCCCTTCTTTCACTGAACTGATCCCACAAATCCAACCAGCCAATCTGCTCATCCTTACATAGTAACCTAAGCCTAGCATTTAGCCCTAGTGACCTACTTATAATTTCATCCCCATAATTAATTCTGGGCAGTATCCCTGACAAAATTAAGTTATGGCTTTTTTTTCATTAAATGCCTTTATTAACCCCTTGTAGTTGTACTTATTAATTAGCTCCTCTGATCTACCTCTCTCTGCATCATTAGCCCCTACATGCACCACAAAAATTGCATCACTGCTAAGCCCCTTTATTATACCTACTGCTCTGTCAGCATAATCTGATTCTTTTCTCCCTTTTTACCCCACAGACTATTTTATCCACATGCAGTTTTTAGTTAACCTATTACTTGATTACATCAGTAGCACAAAACTGAAAGAGGAAATGAATGAATATTGATTTTTATATATTTCATTTCAGTTTCTAAAAGCATATTATCACAAATATGCATTTTTCCAAAGTATTCTGTGGCTTTTTTGGTCAGTAACTTCAGTGAAATTACTCTCAACAATCAAGATGAAACCAGTCAAGAAATTACTGATAACCTGAATGAAGAATTTATCAGCAGGTAAGTTCATAATGGTTTTATTATTACATTCACTTTTGTCATTCCTTACCCATTTGCAAATTCTGCACAAGATATTAAAAATGTAGATGAAATATGTTTATATTTTTTGTATATTAGGCTAGAACACTTTCAAAATATACATCGAAATACATATGTGGTGCTGATGAACTGTGTTTGGGAAGCAGCAGAAGTTACCATTGTGTTTAAACTACAGAAGAAGTAAGCATTGCCTGTTTTTATCACTGAGCTATATATAACTGGAAAGGACAGCCAACAATAATGGATATTTCTTTCTGTAACCAGCAGAAGTTAGGTGTTGTCCATTTTTAGCACACACAAATGAACAGTTACATTTACGTTGCTTATTCCATGCTGTGCAGTATATAATTGCCACAACTGGTTGGAAGATAAGAAAAAACTAAACTGGAAATTTGTTTCATAGGTAAGTTGGCCTTTAAAAAATACGTTAGTATCGTAGACTAGAAATATATGATTGATGGATCTTCAGCCACACATGCCAATACTACAATAGTAACGAACAAACATTTTATACTTTTGTTCATAAAGAATGTAGATCTAATCACAAAATATTGCTTTATAGCATCATGTGTCATAGACTCAGATTATATTTCACCAGCACGAAATAGCCTTGTAGTGCTGAGTTTGTGTAAAACAACATTAAATAAGAAACAAAAGTAACATTATTCATACATCATAATGATTCTTTGCCACAGTAACTCAACTTTTTTTCTTGAAACTTTTCCTAGACTTCCAGTAACAAATCCACAAAGACTAAGCAAATGAATTGCAAACATGAACAGGGATTATGGACACCAAGAAGTCATAGCTTATTGTGCTCTAGACTATGTTTACACTTTGAAGAAAAGAATTTTTATCAGACTGGACAGGTTGAGGGAGCATGAGGAACCAACTATTTCTGATTTTCCACCCCATCTTCAGAAATTAGGTTGTCCTTTTTTTTCAGTTATATGTATATTAGCATTATTATGATCTACATCTATAACCTATCACATGTTGAAGTTTGTTGAAAATTATCATACAATTAGAAATTTAAAATCCTGAAATTAATTCTCCAGTAATTATCATCCAGACACACAAATTTCTCATACATAGTAGTTATAATAAAAAATCATAAATATGCATTTTTATAACACCATACTCCATGTTGAATAGGTTGAAATGCTTTGCATTTATCTTAGGTCAATTTTGGTTTTCAACATGTATGAAAGTAATTGAAACCTTTTCTCTGTTTCACATAAAATTTCATTGTCAAAGTGTCATTTAATCTGGTAAATTTGAAAAAATTTGATCAAACATGAAAGTTTTTTGTATATATATGTTGAGCATCACTTTTATGACAAAATTACTTTACATTTCTGTAAAGCCCTTTTAATTTTGCAAAAATATTTTGTAAGCTTTCTAATACTATTTTCATCTTTTGCAGACCTCAAAGAAGAGAAAGGCTCCCACAGAAAGGAATGCTGGCTCTTCAAAACATCACCCAGACACTGTTTCATATACTGAGGAAAGATCTGCAGATCCTATCAGTGCTTCATCTGATCATAATTATTATTTGGCCTCTCCAAACAAGTTACACAAGAAGTACTTGTCAACTACTTATAAATTGGAAGACAAAAGAAAAAAAAAGCTCAAGATGGAACAGCAAAAGACCAGAAAACAGAAAATTAAAGTTAGTCACTTCACTAATGTCATTGACTCCATCAAGAACCATGGTTTGATGTGCTGAAATTCTTGAGGCCACTTTCAGTGGAGTGCCAAAAGTACTAATGCAAAGACTTCTAAAGATCAACTAGAGGTTGGTACATTCCCCATTGAACTGCCATGACACTACAATTTTATTCTACAAAGGCATATGAACTTTTACGGGAAACACTTGACCTGTATTTGCCAAGTATCAGGATAATTAAGTGCTTGTACAGTGTCATTGATGGAGAACCTGGATTTATACGTGCAACATTTGAAGACTTGGCAGTAAAGGTTAAGGAGAACAAAGAAAAACAAATGGAGACTTTGTGTTCCCTAATACTTGATGAAATGAATATTAGGAAGCATAATAAGCACAAAGGGAAGTTCTATAGATTTGTTGACATTGGCTCACCAGCAATGGAAGTTTAAGAAGATGCTTTTGTACAGATGATGGTATCTTTGAATGAGAGCTGGAAAGTTCCATTAGGCATTGGACTAATAAAGAAAGATGGAACAAGCTGATTTCTTCTGGTTTGGAGTATATAGAAGATTTTAAACTCCTGAATCGACAAGAGTTATTGATGGTAGGAAACATGTTGGTATTCTTGGCTGTATTCATAAGTGTGAGGAATTTATTCAATAGTCTAGTGAAAGGTAACTGTGATGGTCCTCTTAGATACCTCCTTACCTTTTTTTCTCCTCAATAAGAACTGCAGGTGGATTCCACAGCAATCCAACAGATGTTTAACTTATATCTGCATACAAATGTCTTTTTAGTGAGACAAAATATTAAATGTACAGGCAATGGAAACTGTGTTTCCCAAGATAAAACAAATATCCTTTCAGTGCTCTGTGTCTGTCAAGTTGTGGATGGAAATGTCATCAGCATTACAGAAGTGTTGATTGCAAAGAAACGCAGCCTCATCAAAGAGGAAGCTAGCTTTGAAAATTTTGATGACATTTGTCTCACCCTAGCTGACTACAAGGAGGCAACAACTGCATACATAGCTGGCTATGTAGCAAAAATGGTGCACAACAATTTCTTGTTCACAGTTCTAGGAAGCATTAACTGAAAGAGACAATATTGATCTTCACTCAGTCTTTAAGCAGAAGGAAAAGGGATGTTTATTCAAACCTAGTGGAAATGTTATAACTGTTTACCAGATCAAAGAAAAAGTAGTATTAAAATTGTTTCCAATCTTCCTCAGGGAATTGGAGTTCTCTCAGCTGTATCCTCATCTGTAATGACACATATTCAAGATGTAGATATGTTTCTTGACTTAAACAATCACATGCTTGACTCAGCTGTTGGTGATAACCATTCTTTCATTCTTATCAAGTTAATAGCAGTGCTTTTCTAAAATTCGAATTTGTCACCTTGGAAAACAATAAACAGCTGAAATTCTGGGAACAAGAGTATGCAAGCAGTTAAACTAAATTGGTTTCTTTTCAATGCCAGTAGCTGTTGTTAAATTTGTAAGAATTTGTTTTCAATTGTTTTCTTTCTGTTTTGATGAATCATGATTTTGAAGCAACTTTGAGAAATATGAAAAAAAAATGTATCACTACTATAGAACATGCATATTGTTTTACATCCACACGGGTTTGCTTACATTGCTTAAAATATTTTGTTTTGTAAAACTGTAAGAAGTAATTTTTTAAAGATAGTTTTTATTTCTGTGTTCAGACTTCATCTTTCTTACTGAAAAATTGTTTCCAGTTTTATTTGGCTACAGCTTTTATTTCTTCTTATTGCAAATAGTAAAATCTAAGTTATACAAGTTTAAGTTTTTGGCTATATTATAAAGATTATATACTACTGTTGGTCCTCTCTTATTAAATATTTTTTTTAAATATTGATGTGCAGATTGTTGAAACAAATACCTCATAGTTGTTGTGACACTACTTTATGGGAAAAAAAAATTAACTCTCTCAACACAGGCTTGGTCGATTTGACTGACCACATGACCTCTTTTGGACTCATATAAAGTCTTTATAAATTTGATACTACTAACTTTTAATATAGTATGTACATCTTCACAAAATTTGGCAGTCTTTCAGTAAACATTATAAGTCTTTCACATAAAAAAAATTATTTTTTGTGAAGTATTTTAAATAAACCAAAAAGCATTTGTCCACGAATATATCGAGTATTTATTTTGAATAGTCCACGTGCAAAGAGATTTTCATATTAAGATTAAAAATACTTCCTCTCAAAAATCTCAGATTTGATTTGTGTAAACTCTAAAGTCTCCTAAATACATTTCAAATGTTTGTTTTCAGCAAATCATTATATTTTATTTGTTATTTTCTCTACATCAACTCTATACAACATTGGTCAATTTGACCAACCTCGTAACCACCCAAAAAACAAATTGAAATGTAAATAACCTTTTTTCTTTCTAAAATGACTCCAAATTGTAATATGAAACTACATTTGTTTATCCTAAGTAGCTTTAAACTCGTAACAGTAAACATCTATTTATAATTAACTTTTATTGCTTTATTATCCTTTGAACTGTGTCTAACTACTATTCATGCCATTATAAGTTATAAGTCACTTGGGGAACGTGGAGGTCATATTATGCTATCGAATTATGTTACCCATGAGCTGCTTGCATGTATGTCTTGTGAACATTTTTTATTATATTATTATTTATTTTACCTAATCTAGCCTAAAGAGATCCCTATTTTTACATTTTAGTTACTTTTATAATAATATATAAAGAATAAACATGAAAAACAAGAAATAAAGTATTTACCCAATTCTTCGTTTTCCTTTCTGTCAATTGTCTATGACACTTAACACTACGTTTTTTTATTACTAATGGTAGTAATGCTCCAAGTAATTTTTACTTAATCAAATAATGCACCAAAGAACATAGAATAATAACATGCAAAAAGTAGACCATTTCCCCTAACTAGCACAACTCTTCTGGCTTTCTAACTGCGCAACAAGAACCGTTATAAAATCATCGAGGGTAATCGTTATCTTTCCTGTGGGAACAAAGCTTGTACTAACAGGGAAATTGACAATTCTCCATCCAGAAAATATTGTTATGTAATACATCATTTGGTAGATGAAAACCTTGGTTTTCTATTGGTTATAGATTATTAGAATTAAATGTAAGAGAGAACTATTAACAAATCCTGAAAGAGAGGATGTGACAGGTGGATGTAGCAAGACGGGGCTGATTTTCTATTTGATGGCTCTCTAACCAAACAAAATTGAAGACTATAAAAATTATAGTTTATCTGAGTAATAACGAATTTATAATGAGTAATTTATGATGAATTTCATACTTATTGGAGGGATGGTGGATAAAATAGAGAAGAAGAGATGCTTAGAAAAAATATGTCACACTAGAATGAATGAATGGACCTGGCAGTAATTTAGGTTTAAAATCTCTCAAGCCCCTAACTATCACAATTTTTCTGGCTTTCTAGATGGGGCACTCAGAAACTATTGTTTCTCTTCAGTCCCACTCGTGGAATTAAGATTTGATCCTTCAGGGAATAAAATATATTAATACTACATGGCTAGTATGATATTGTTACATATCTGTTTGTTTGTTAATTTCTGGTAGAAATTCTTTCCGAGGAACTTCAGCGATACAAGTCCTTTCTTGATTAAACCAGTTTATTCTTCCTCGATACAAACTTTTAGTACACCATAATTCCACAGTCAATACGTTTCTTATCACTTTAAACTTAGTAACTTTTATAATACACGCTATAAATAACAGTGATTCACACATTTTACTTACCGTCACTACTGTTTGCTTCTCTAATTATCTATCTCTCGCTGGCTTCTCTGCCGTACTTGTATAGTAACAAAGGGGGCATTCCGAATGCACTCGGGCTTCCCCGATCATTCATGATCAATCGAGAAATTTCATGTACACTACCAGTGCCAGCAGCGTAACGCGACTTCTGCTGACGAAACAATACATACCGAATCACATGAAATACTGTCAGCACTGATTTATTGTTTACTATTTGATAAGGTGGGTATTACTAAAAGACTGTCTAACAAATAAATTAAGCAGCATCCAGAGAAAGCTGTGAGATGATGGAAGGAAGAGAACAGGTTGAGAGCTGACTTGGTTGTTGCTTCAAATTGACTGTTGTTAGCAGCTTGAGAGTAGATTTGGCAATCTTTGACTGGCTGCAGAGACCAAGACTGTGGTTAGGTAGTGAGTTCCTGGATTAAGAGTTTACAAATTTGACATTATTAAACTCTAGTGGAAAGTGTTCAACTGGAACTTGACGTTTAAACTTTATCATTAACTTTACATGAGATGACATCTTTTCGGGGCTGGGATCTCAGGATCCAAAAATTCAAATGTCACACTATGGAAAATTTGGGATTTTTTAAATATTGCCTTATAAAAGTAAGAACTTAAAACTTATATACTATTAAAATATGGATTATTAGCTAAGATTTTATGCTATACTAATTGGTATTAGCATAAAAAAAAGTAGATTAATAAAATTTTGAATGAAAGCCATTAAAACCTCGTGACATGCACAATAAAGGATGCCTATTGTGATAGGGTTAATTAGAAAATTATTCATGCCTTTCCAAGATGAATTTTATAAAGAAATAACTGTTTGTTTTTCAGCTGTTACCATATTTGATAATTTAAAATAATCATACGATGGGTTTTAGAGAAGCAAGAAACTGAGCACGTCAGTAGCTTTTGCACAGCGTAGCAGTAGACACTGGGGATATTGAAGGGTGCATGAAAAATTTATTGATGGCCTTGTGCAGTCCAGTTATGTATAGTTCAGTGTTTTTTATACGTGTCTATTATTTGTAACATTGAATGCAAATTTTAATTTTTGTGGGCATATTCATTTTAATATAAGATTTAGTTGATTTAGTTCTATTGCTGTTTTAACTAAGCTTGTTCTTAAGCAGGTGTATTATAGTAAAAAGTTTATGATAAGTGATAAAACAATTGTATAGGTTTTGTTTGTTACTTTGTTGTTAAGCACTAATGTACACAATGGGCTATCTGTGCTCTGCCTACCATGTGTATCAAAACCCGGTTTTTAGCATTATACATTTTCAGACTTGTTGAGTCACTGAAGGGCAATTGTATATGCATCACTGTTTCTCTAAAATGTCACTTTCATTGTGATGTTTTTGGTTTATCCCATTGCTTTAAATCAAAATTTACACGATTTAGAAATAAATTAAAGAAGAAAAATATTTACTCTAACTTAATTAGTTACTGATACTAATAGGCTTAAAACGTAAAATCCAGAGACACAGTTTTTGGATAAATTAGTTTATTTCTTTAACTTTATAACAATGCTTCGACCACTCGTGTAGCCATCATCAGGTAAACTGAATTTTGTTCCAATTTAGAAAACATTTAGGGTTACATCTGAATACTAGAAATAAAGACCTCATAACACCAAATTTGTTATTTTTCTGTAATTGGACACTGAAGAAAGGTGCAATTATTGAAGAATTAAAAAGAATCAATTGCAACTGTTGTGAAAAATACACTACACGCCCTGAACTAATATCACTCCTTTTGAGCAATGAATATCCACCTTTTTACATCTAACGAATTTTCAAGGACTCTGACATGCAAAAATTAGCATTGCATCTCCAACATGAAAAACACAGATAACAGGGAAGACAAAAAATTTCTAAAGATAACAAAAAAAAGATTATTTTTATGGTACTTCTAACACAGGCCAGCGATATTTTTATTGTCTTGAAATTTTTACATGTTCAACAGTAATTCCTGTATGCTGAATCTAAAAATGATATCCATTTTTCTGCATTGCATAAAGATTTTTACAAAATGTTATAATGCAATACATAAAAGAAAGACCACAAGACATAGATTTCACAAAAAAATCAGGATGAATGAGGATGCATATTTGTTTGACATCAATGTTTTTCTATTTTCTTCAGTTTGTTTGTATTTTTGTTAATAAACATAATAGCAAAAATATTCATTGTGGTAAACGAAAAAATAATTTGATCTAATTAAGATTTTTTTCTTCCCGATTTGTAAAAAATTCTTAGGTGATAGAAAAAAATAATATTATTTTTGAAATCTGTATAGCTGAATTATGGAATTTCTGTTACTAAAACCAAAACAACTTTTCTGAAGTTTAAATATGCAGAACTGTATAATTGATGAAACTATCTCCAAGAAAATGAAAACTATAATCAGGAAGTCTGAACTGCTGATTAAAGTTATAAGATGGCCAGGTCCACCTCTCAGAACTTTCAAAACCTCAGTATCCTATCTTACAAAGTAATAAAGCCAACTGTCTTACAAAAAGGTATTTGCAATCTAAAGATGGGTGTCTTGTTTCCAGCTCGCATATAACATCTGCCACCATCATATATACATTGGGGAAACCGGAAGAACCCTACACACAAGTATAGGAGAACATACTGACTCTCTTTTTAAACAACGTGAAAGAAGTACAGTCGCAGGTAATTTTTTTAACTAATCATGGACAAATAACACCTAACATGAAACCATTATTCTCTGTACAAATCCTTACCAAAGTCAAAAAGTACACTGACACAAAATTTAAAGAAGCTCTTCTCATCAGAAAAACTATGACCACAGATGAATAGGGACAAAGGATGGTGCCTATAATTTTGTTTTCACTTTGACTTTTGTTGCAGATTACTGCTGCTGCATATGTTAAATGCCATATTATAAATACATGATAATGTGTCAATCTTTTGTTTAAATTACATGAACATAACAATAGAAAGAAACACTAATGGTTTTAACACCAAAATCTACCACAAATCTGGTAATTATAAAAAGTGAGACCCAGGCCACTCAACACAACAGTAATCTGCAACATGAACTAGAAACAGTATCTGATACATTTTTTGACAAATGTCACTTTAAACAAATTGTTACTAGAACCTCAGCCAAATATAAAAATAAGTTCAATATTAGAAAAAACAAAAAACTATGATGGAAACAAAATTTACATATTCAGACACATTGATAGGTGTCTTACTATGCTATGGCTATGTAACTGAAAACGTAATTAACATTTGGAAACAAGTATAAAAAATACAATCTAAAAAATAAAGTTATTTCTGTTCAAAACCTGAGTATTAAATTCAAAGATCTTTTAAGGAAGGTTTATTCTGACAATTTCAATGACAGAAGCATCTACAAATACCAATGCAGTTGATGCGATAACATGATATATAGGCAAAATGGGATGCAACGTAAATATTAGGATGAAAGAACATAGCAACCCCATTTTACACATTTACAAACACAGCACAACGAATCAACATCCAATCAGTATTAACAACTTTAAAACATAATGAGAAAAACATTAATAGAAGAAAAATAAAAGAAGTCAATTATTCATGAACTAAAATTTCATTTAAATCAAAACAAAGGTATCACTTAATGGGTTTTCTAAATGGGAACAAAATGCTCATGCAACTGTTACGACAGAGGAAGTCACATGACACTGCTGGCATGCATGATGAGTTTCTCGAATGATTGGGGAAGTCCGAGTGTGTTGGAGATGCCCTCTTCATTAGTATATAAGCCTGGCACAGAAAGCCAGCGAGCATGAATGAAGAGAGAGCAGAAGTTACTTTGAGTTCTGTGTAATTTATGATTCTGTTAGTGTCGAGCTAGTGTGTCGTAAGGTGTGTGTTTTGCACTCGTCGAGAGCGAAGTTATCAAGATTGTGAATCGATGTGATTTAGAGCGTGTATTATAAAAGTTGTTAAATTTAAAGTGACAAGAAACGTA